GAATCATAACCTACAAAGGAACAAGAATCAGATTGACAACAGACTTATCACTGGACAACCTAGACGCTAGAAGCCAGTGGAGCAGTATTATGGGAGTTCTGCAGGAAAAAGGGTTTAAACCTAGAATCCTATATCCAGCCAAATTGGCATTTGAGTTTAAAGGTAAACCAGAGGTTTTTTTTGATGTTGAAGAATTCAAAGAGTTTATTTCTTACACACCATCTTTGAAAAGATTGCTAAAGGATATACTTTAACAGTCTAGGGTGACAGAAACACATGTGCACAATATACCTTCTTCATACCAACACACACATATCCAAAAATTGACAGTAAACCAGAAAGTACAATATTGCATCTCTAAGCCAAAGGATGGACCACTAACAGTATACATGGGGGGGGGGGTGACAGGAAAGGAAGTTATAGATAATACATAGAAGGTGGTATAAAGTTAAAGGGTATATTTTGACATTTTTAATGGTAAACATCCCTAGCTTATATCTAGGAGTAGTAACCTTTGTATACTTTTAGTGGTAGAGGGAGGTGATCACATTTTTATTGTAATTACTAGAAAAGGTGACTGAAAAGTAATAGAGAATTACAGAGAAAAGGATGATAAGTTAAAATACAAAAACATGGAAGTTGAATGCATAAAGGGTACTTCATACATATGATCATTTATGATGTAAATTTCAAATCTGTATTAAACTTCTCTTTTCTCTGAATATGGTCCATTTGCTTGTTTAAAAGTTTTCTGTTTTATGTTTTCTAAAGTACTCTTAGCATATAGTCTGATAACTTATGCTTTATTGCGTTAGTCTATCCACCAAGAGACCATATCTTTTCCCCAAAGTGTGACACTAGTGTGAATGAAGTGAGTCATGGGCTGTCAGGTGATGTGGTTGAAGCACTGAGCTCCCACATGGCTGGCTGTGGTTCCAAGTCCTGGACTTGGCAGCTTGCTTTTTCACTTTCCCTTTCTCTCTCTCCAGTCGAACTAAATAATAAATTAAAAAATACATATATAGATCTCTTTTTTTTTTTTGTTTTGGAGAGGTTTTTGCTATAGGGCTT